AATAACAACATAGAATGTATTACTGTAATAGTACCAAAGTCAGCACCACACTAGTGGTCCTACTGGCTTCATGTATAGTAAGCCCAGTAAGAGTTTACAATATAAGAAGGCAAAGAGAGTATTATCCCTGGTTCTATAGATAGAGAATTGAAGCACACAGAGATAAGAGATTAGCTAAGGGTCATGCAAAACTGATAACTTGAATCTCTCAAGTCAGGCCTTAAGGTCAAGCCCATCCTCCTGTCTAATTAGCTGTTACTGCAAAGTCTATCATTTGTTTTCTTAAGCTGGGCTGCCAAACCAGACAGCTAAAACATACTTGGAAATTTGGTACTATAGAACTATTTGCTTAATAGTAGCTTTCCTAAAATACCCACTACAGTATTCTAAATGGAGCATAAAAATAGACCATTGAAAAGAAACCTTTGTTTTGTCAACGCCAGTGTTACGTAGTACTCTATTCCTGTAATTTAAGTGAATGGGATATTTGGAACACGGCACTACAATGAATGAGAACTTCAAACAGAAAACAGGCTGTTCTTTTCAGCACCGGAGGTCAAGAATACATTGAGCTTTTATCTTACGTTTTGTTTTTAAAAATACACATTTCACATCTCCTTTTTATATCAGCAGAAATTACAAACCTACATATAAAGGAAAACATGGTAGCCCTTTCATTAGCAGAACTAAAACCAACCTGAAAATAAGTCATACCAGATTTTTAAGTCATTGCACTAGACTTGAAAAGTCAACATTTTTTTGTAAATTGTATAAAGATGAGTGAAGAACAGCAGTGTCATGGTTTAAATCCAGTATTAGAATTTTGTCTTGCAACACATAGTTGCAAGACAACTTTCTAGTAAGTATGTATCCATGGCTATCTCTGTTTAGAAGTACAGGTAAAGACTATGGGAAAGCAAGGAAGGTGAAGAGTAACTATTCAGCAATTAAGTCTTACAAATGAGTATATAGATTTAGTGTGGCACTGGATATTTTATATAACCATAATTATTCAATTAACTTTCATAAAAACATAATGTATCTATGAGAGAGCTATATATGCATGTTCTTTTACAGATGTAAGAATAAATAAAACAACAAATGCCAAAGTGTCCTAGGAAGCCTGTCGTCCGTCTACAAAATTATTGTAAATGTCTATTCTTTTTAGACATGCTGATACCATAAAATCTTCCTTGAAAAGGGCATTGTGATCTTTGATAGAAATGTTTTATCAACTAGCTGGTTGATTGTATATTTTGTAAAAAGATAGTATGCACTTCAAATAGCTTCTCATTTTAAATAAACTTTGTACGCTTTTCAAAATTTATATTCTTCAGCTGTCAAAGGCAATGCATCTAATGAAAATAAAGAATTTGTCTAGTTTCCCTGTGGATTCATATGGAATCAGCACGTAAAAATTTTTCTTACTCAATTTCTGACACAAATAAATAGTAGTTATTCATGGAAACACTTTCCCGACATTTTCTAGCTGTCTAAAAATACAAAATTCTGACAAAAGCCATGCTGAAATAACTTAGTTTAAAACTACTGGCTGGTGTAATCATAGAATGCTGTAACATGACATCATGATACCACGCTAGAATTACAGCAGAACCCAGGCTATGTGTTGTTTTCATGCCAAGAATAAGCAAGATTTTTAATTATCTCAGAGTGCTAAATCTTGAAATCTGAATGTTCTCACAAATCAAGGAAAATAGCCTTATTTCAGGACAAAACCAAGCTCAGAAGTAGTCTGAAGCATAGCAGAAGCTAAAATGTGTGGTAACTTTTCCCATTAAAGGTTGCATACTGTAAATAAATTTCTAAGAGCTACATAGGATCATAGAATGGTTTGGGTTGGAAGGCCCCTAAAAGCCCATGTAGTCCCACCCCCCCTGCCACAGGCAGGGACACCTTCCACTAGACCGGGTTGCTCAAAGCCCCATCCAGCCTGGCCTTGAACACTTCCAGGGATGGGGCATCCACAGCCTCTCTGGGCAACCTGTTCTAGTGCCTCACCACCCTCGCAGTGAAGAACTTCTTCCTCACATCTAATCTAAATCTACCCTCTTTCAGCTTAAAACCATAACCCCTTGTCCTGTCACTACATTCCCTGTTAAAGAGTCCCTCTCCATCTTTCCTGTAGGCTCCCTTTAGGTACTGGAAGGCTGCTGTAAGGTCACCCCAGAGCCTCTTCTCCAGGCTAAATGTCTTGCACAGTAGAATTATCCAAGTGATGCTACTACAGCACAACACTACATTGACATTTAACTTCAGAGGACCTTGTTTTCAGCTGAGCTGGACTTGCCTTTGACTTTGTTGAAACTACCCATTTTCATCTGATTTGCACAACATAAGGTTCATCTGGTAAAAACAGTTTTGCATGATAAAGGTGCGATTACATATATAAACTTGAAGTATTTGGACACAGTGCTACAAGAGCTGAATTGACTGAACTCCCCATGTGCATGCATGAGTGTAAGTTTAAAGGAATTGATGTTTGCATGGAAGCAATCGAACGATCAAGACTTGATCCAAAGGTCAATTCAGACCTCAAACTCTGAAAGGCAAAATGTGAGTTTCTGAAACTTCAAACTAACTCCTTGTCTTGTAGATAGTTGTTATGTGGGAAAAATTTAAATTTTATTTGAAAGTCAGTTTCATTAAATCTTTTAAATTGTACTGGCTATTTTAGAGTGAAATACAAAATTACATATCAGCAGGTCAACAGGAAAGAGAGGTAAATGTAAGGCTGTGGTGAGAAACAGCAGATTAGTGTGTTCCCAAAGGATAATAAACAATTCACCTCTTCCCTTTCCAGTATGGAAAAAAGGAAATTATGGAAGAATAAAGACTGGAAATATTTCCCTTACACCACATACGTGTGCTATAAATATCTCAGTGTCTGTACACGCAAAGCCAAATTTTGCTAAGAGCCACATAAGATCTCTATCAACATCAGTCAGAAGCATTAGTATAGTAAATAAGTTTCAAATATTTGACTATCATCAGACAAGTACAATTAGCTTACTGATCTCTCACTACTGTGATGGTCTTTATCTATCTTGCTAGCAATCAGCTGCAAAATATTTGTGCAAAGTGGGAAACACTCCAACAGCACCTGTGCCTTTAGTGGGCAATAATGCCTAAAAGCCTAATTAATTCCAACACTGAGGATGCTTTTTCAAGTCTCTTGAGTTATCTCAAGGTTAGATTGTTGTCTGCCCAAGTGCCTTTGGTCCTTGATACAATTTTTTTATTTTTTTTTAGATTAAAAATGACCTTCAGCGGGGCAAGCCTGCTTAACTGCATATTTGTGTAGAACCTTAAAGCATGAAAATCCTGTTAAAATCTTTTACAATCAGTGATTTCCTTTGTGAGCTGAAATGCTAAAGTGTTTATATAGAACCTCCACTATGAGCTATTCAGAAAGACAAAACAAGTATCGGCTGAGGGTTTTTCCCTCATATAGGATGCGCATTCACAAGAGATCACCACAATGTCTTTTCTTTCATGTGCACAAAATATTTAGCACGTTCTGGCGTTTCATCTAGAAATTACTAAAAATCCCACAATGTGAACACTTTTTGGGCAACCCTGAATCTTCTGTTTCTTAGGTGTTCTGACATACTTGTTTTCCCAAACCTGAAAAACACAGACATTGTTTTTCTATAGAAACAAAAAGCTATTGGGGTACAAGCTGAATAATAATAAAACCCAACATAAACCAGAATGTGTTATTTTTACTTTTTTCTTTTTTTTTAATGTACAGTTGCAACATGCGTGAGGAAACATTCCTTTTCCATTACCTTCTTGCTGTCCCGGTTGCAGTCCACTAGCTCTTACCAAGTTGAGCCCGTGGACCTGCAAATATGGATGCATTTCAGCACTGTAGTTACGTAACGAGCATCACCCATTCTCTTCAGCCGCTCACCTATCGGCAGGTTGCCACCCCGTGCCCGAGAAAGGCTGCGACACTTGCTGAGCTTTCTCTCGCCCGCACGCCGGCCGCCATTCGCCCCCTCCACGTCGCCCTTCGAGCACCGGCTCGCAGACGCAGCCCCCCCGCTGCAGACCGACCCGCTCGGTCCGGGGAAGGGCCG